AGATGGCTGGAGCGTTGGTTAGTCCAAATGGCATGACCAGGAACTCACAGTGTCCGTATCTAGTTCGAAAGGCTGTTTTGGGAATGTTTTCTGTCCTGATTCTTACCTGATGGTAACCTGAACGCATGTCTATCTTGGAGAAGATTTGAGTACCTTACAACTGATAAAAAATGTCATCAATACTGGGGATGAGGTACTTGTTTTTGATCATGACCATGTTCAGGCATCTGTAGTCTATACATAACCTCAATGTCCCATCTTTCTTTCTTGCAAATGTGACTCCAACACCCCAAAGGGACACACTATATCGGATGAATTCACTGTCCTACAATTCAGTGATATGTTTTCTCAGTTCCTCCATCTCAACACGACTCATGCGGTAAGGAGCAACTGAAATAGGCTGGGTGTCTGGCTAAATGTCTACGGTGAATTTGACTTCTCTGTCTACTAGCAGTCCAAATAGTTCATCTGAGAATACATCTGAAAAGTCTCGGACTACTAAAATCTCTTGAATACAAATTTCTTTCTTGGGTTTGCCTAGTTAGAGAAAATAGTCGGGTTTAAATACTTGATAATAAGAGAATTTTTCATAAGGAAAATAAATGGTAAATAATTTTATTAATTTGTAAATGACTCATCATTAAGAGGGTTGAAAACAATCTTTTTGCTAAAATAATCTATGGTAACGTGATATGCTGGTAGTCAGTTCATTCCTATGATTACATCAAAGTCTCCCGTGTCAATCTCTATCAGCTCCGCACTCAATTTCTTATCTGTTATATCTATGACGCAAGGTTTGTATACCACTTTTCTTAGCAGTGTTCTACTCTCAAGAGTAGACACAAACAACACAGAATTAAATTTTTCAGATAATACATTTAATTTTGATGCAAAAATATGTGAAACAAATTAATGCGATGCACCAGTATCAATCCAAATATGAGCAGGATGGTTACAGATAGTGTACGCACCCTGTACCACGTCCAGATCGGTTTCTGCATCCTACTGAATGAGGTTGTAAGTCCTGTCCTGGATAGGAGGTCTGGCCTGATTCTAGTTCCTCAGGCACTCCCTTACATAATATTGGGCACTACCGCATATGCGGTAGTGCTCAATATTATGTAAGAGATATGCGGTAGGTGTTGTTGAGGTGATAATAGGGTCGGTCCCAATGATCTTTGTCACAGTGTTGACAGGTCTTACCGCACCTTGCTGCTAGAACCTGAGGAGGAGCCTGAGTCATCGGCCTGGGTCTCTTGTTCTGTTGAACAGGTACAATAAGTGCAAGTCTGCGGTGTGGAGCCGAGGGCTTGAGGTTCCCTATTGCTGGAGGGAAGGTGCGAATTTTCTTTTCCACCAACTGTGCATTGGCCAGGATAACCAAATAAGTGCTGAGCTCGAGCACAAACAACTGTTGTCTGATCTCAGGACGGAGACCCCACTCGAACCTTCTAGCCTTCCTACCTTCATCCATCATGCTCTCCGAGGAATACCGACCCAAATCTAGAAACTTGCGAGCATATTCTGATACAGTCATGTCCCATTGGACCAAATGTGTAAACTCCATCTCCTTCAGATGTCGGAGATGCTCTGAAAGGTACTCTGCATGAAAGGCCATCAAGATCCCAAGTGACTAGAAAGGGCAGGGTGGCTTGCTTCTCCCACCAGCATGTAGGTAACAAGGATGATTTTCTATTCAGGAGTCACCCCAAGTGTCATGAAAGCCTTCTCTGTCTCAGCTAACTAGTACTCGGCCTCTTCAAACGAGGATATTCCTATAAAAATAGATGGATTTAGTCTTTTATACCTCTCGATGTAACTTGGGTCCATCATGGGAGGAGCTGGGTTCCGTGGAAGAGGGACTAGATTGCACTGAGAATGGACTTGGTGGCCCTATGGTGGTACTAGATGATACGGTGGAGGCACCGAATTGTACTGTGGTGATGCCGGGTGATGCGGTTCGATACCAGGCCATACTGTGATGGTGCCGGGTGGTACTGTGGATAGGGCACCGGATCATACTGTGGTGGTACCGGGTGATACTGTGGAGGATCAGAGCTGTACTGGGGTGGCTCAACATGTGGCAACGAGGGAGGGTCAGGTAGCTCCCTCATTTCCTCCCGGGCCTGCTGGCCAGCGATGAGTCTTTCCAGCATCTTAAATAACCAATCAACATTCTCTTGTAGCGAACCCTCCCTACCTGCTCGGTTTAGTGGGACCCTTCCTCTCCTCATATATCTATACTTGCGTTTCACAACGAACGGTTGAATGATAATTCATTATTTTTTATATTTCTTAAAAATTTTATGTAAGGAATAAGTCCGAGGAACGCGGCTCTAATACCAACTGTAACGACATCGAAATTCCAAAAGAAATAAATCATAAATTAAGTACGGAAGCGAAATAATTAGTTAGGGTTTACATTCCTTACACAATAACTTAAAGTACCAAATAGTATTAGGGAAATTACCATTTTGAAGAAAATACAAAAAATTAAGAAAATAAACAAAAAATAAATAAAACTGATATCTTACTCGCAACCCTCTTGTGGATCGAGCTCTAGATCCTGATCCTATTGATCTGAAATGGTTAAATAAGGAATGAGCTACACTAGTTCAGTAAGAATATCACGCTATCCACTGATACAGAAATGAAGGTTGGTAGAAAAATCAAAACAACTAATCGAGCTCTTAATTAAACAAATTCATTTATCATAAACAAAATCTTTTACCATCTACTTACCGTAGTGAGATTTACAAAATAACTTATAGAGATAATAACATAAATCAGATCATGATTCTATCCTTTATCAGCCTACTGGTATCCATGTAAGTTCATATGGATGTTCCCACAATGCATGAACCCTTTCTTTTAACATTTTAAATTAACGGGTCATCCCCATACCACGTCCAGTATGAGTGTCAAACCATTAAACCTCAATATCTCGTCTGGTATGAGGGTGTAACAGGTCGTCCTCATACCCCGTTCAGTATGAACACTAAATTACTAAATCTCGATACCCCGTCCGGTATGAGGCAACATTCGCGGTAAAGTTTTCTATGCACCCAGTCCGTCTACCATCTTCCAAAATATCCATTAAGGCTGTCGTTTCATCTATTCACTTAATCACGCAATTTTTTGTTTTCCTTTAATCTCTTTTTTTTTTCCAATCCAATCGTAAACCCATAAAACAAATAATGCATGCATTCAAAGCTATAAAATCGATCAATCAGATACTATCATGCATTCAAACTGTAAAAACAATCAATAAAAATAACAATAGATAATTTTCAGTTCTGTCTCTATTAGTAACCTGTAATTATTTATGCATATTTTTTAAATTATATAAAATACCGTACTATTGTTAATTTGACTTTAATTCCATAATAGATAATAGGGTGATGAATTCTTACACAATTCGATGCCCAAAAAGCGAAACTTGTTGACTGTGCCTACCGACGGTCCTCGAATTCTCAGAATTTTTCTTCGGGGATTAAAACGCGCTAAAAGTACCTACAAATATCCTAAAAAATCCAAAAACAGTGTCAGGACGCCTTTTTGGCCAATTCCAGAATTCCAGCACGGCGGCTTCAGCGGCGTTCCACCTTGGATTGGCTATTTTTGATCGTTTTTGCATAAATTCCTATGAGAAAACATATTAAGGGACCTCAGTTGGCAAAAATAAATGAAAAATCAAAATTCACCGACGGCGGGGCTCTTCGGTGTGGCGGCTCCATCGGCTCACTTTTACAGTTGGGTGTTTTGTTTCAATCAACCTGTAAAGAAAGAAATTGTGATTATAACGGTGGAAAAATTTCGCATAACGGGAATTGGGAAGGGCCTCATCGGAGGCGATTTTTAAAATTTCTCGCGGCGGCGTCGTGCTTTACTCACAATATTCGACCAATCGGCCGGTTTAAATACGATCTGATTTAGA